CTACTGAGCCTTATAACGTACTATACTAATATATATATATATATATATATACATATATATACACTATACTATAACATACTACTGAGCCTTATAATGTACTCATTGTCATAGAGCCAAGACAGTTTATAATCTGAAGCAGTGCTAAATATAGTTATCAAACAGTTTCATCAATGTTCTGTTTCCAATAATAAAAAGAAAATCTAGAAAAAAATTACAATTTGTTTAACCGTTGTGTGTGACCAAGTGTTAAACAAACAGTAAAATGAGTTGTTCACAGTTAACCTTAAGATGTCTTCTAGATTTGTGAAAGTCTGCTCAGAAACCGAAGTGTTAAGTTGGTGTTCAGCTTTAAATGATAACTGTGTATAGCCTAGGTACATTAAAGAAGCAGTTTCAGTTAGCAGTTGTGATTTAAGTGTCAGTACCTCAGTATTTATATCCCAGTCATCCAGGACGGGTGCAGCAGGCATCACAGTCAGCTTCTGCAGAAGAGCACAGACATTCCTCAGTATTCTGTAAAACACGGATTGAAGAAAATTTAAGAAACAATGATAAACGTCCTTCAGACAGGAAGACGATATTTTGTCTGATGCATTTTATGTTGTGCACTCATTATGTGATTTCAGAAACAAGACAGCGTCTGTTTATATAAAAATATCAGCTACAGCATATGCTCATGCATGCTCAATAATCCAGGTAGAAAAATCTAAAAAAATAAGTCAGGACTTCTGGACAAGTTACATTTTTTTGTTGAAACTTTTCGTCTTTAATCTAAAAAACTTCAGTCTGAGGAGCAGTAACAAGCTCAGTCTTATAAATAGCACCTTCTCATGGTGGATCAACCAGTTTGTTATTGACATCCAGAACCAGCTGCTCACATGATCAATGACCATAACAATGGGTCATTAGCACACTGATGGCTGTTTACTATTCACAGAGGGCTGAGTGATACTAGCAATAACAGCATTGTAAGAGGGGGACAGTTGAACACAGTGTTGCCAGACCTCGCAATAGAAACAAACAACCAGCTCTATGAAAACAAGCCCAAAAAAGCCCAACTGGCAACCCACCACATTAGTTTTTAAACAGTATAAACATACATTTATTATGGCATTGCACATAAACAGCAAAATTATTATTAACAATTTGAATAACATACTTTTAAGCTCTCGGCCACAGTATGAGTGTTTGGAGTGGGCGCCCACAGACATATTTGTGCATGTCTGTGTGCACCTGTCGCCTCACCAACATGGACGGGAGTGATAAACAGGCAACAGGGGCATGGAAGGGACAAACTACCTACTACCACTCGTCTTTTGCTTTATTGTGCGGAGCTGTTTCACTTGGAAAGAAAGGCAACCCAAATAAGCAACCACAATCAAAACAAGCTAAAAAAAAAATCGCGACTCAAAAAATATGCAACCAACTTTAGGAAAAAAACAAGCCCAAAGTTGCTTATAATAAGCGGACTTGGCAACTATGCTCCTGTTTAATGATGGACGGTTTCTTTTCACAAAGATGGCCTCCTTTACTCCTCTCTCAAACCATCGTTCCTCTCTGTCCAGGATGTGAACATCTTCATCCCTGAAAGAGTGACCGCTGGCCTGGAGATGAGTGTAGACCTCAGAGTCCTGGCCTGATGATGTTGATCTTCTGTGCTGGGCCATCCTTTTGGCCAGTGGCTGTTCAGTTTCCCCGATGTAAGACTGATCACCCTCCTGACACTGAACAGCATACACAATATTACTCTGTGCCGGGGGACTGGATCTTTGGGATGAACCAGTCTTTAATGTATTTTGGGTTTGAATTAGGGGTTGCACGACTTCATATTTTTTAAAAGTCGACTTCAACATGATTAAAGTTGACATCGACTAGTCACTGTGACGTCATCGGAACTCAAGACTCATATTCACAAAAATGGTCATTATTTACAATAAAAAAGAACAAAAAATCGGGAGCATATATTTATGCTTCTGCTATTTATCAAACTGTAAATAAGTCAGAGGAAAACCAAAACTATTATTAAGCTGTAAAAGTGAAAGAAACGTGCAGCACGTAAAAAAACAAAACTAAAAACATGAGGTGGGCGGTGGTGGACTCCACCACTGTGGATTAAATAAAATAAAACTAAAGACTGGTGAGGGTGGAATCCACCACTGCCTGCTGACGTGGTTGCTGGGTCCAGTCCAGTTAAGCTTCAGGTGTCGCTGGCAGTGATTAAAATGGGTGTTTTTTTACCTTTTTCAACCGGACGGTCAGCGCGCTGGTGATCCAAATTGGATCGTTAGCCGCACGCATCCTCTAACACAATCAAACGCCTGACACCAACCCAGGCCACCCATCTAGTACATTAATGTGTTGGATGTTCCTGGAGTGAAGCAAATACAATGTGGTGATGAGGAGATTGTTTCTGCTGATAAAAGTGATAACAAATGAATAAAAAATAAAAACGGTATTCTGACCTGACGGGGCTGTTTGAGCTCAGATCCCCCTCACATGGGACTTGGACAATTTGCTTTCAGTTAAGAAATTCTAAACAGTTTTACTCCTATCGTGCCGATATGTATGGTATGGTATGGGCAATGGCATTTAGTTACGCACAAAAAGAAATCATGAGAAAATCAGGGAAATTAGTTAAATGGATAAATATTTAGTTTTTATCCGTTTGTGTCTTCAAATAAACAACAGGGGTGAATATGTTTACCAACAAATGTTGAAGATTTGTACAGTTGTTGTTTCTGCTGGTCTCAACCTGAGTGGACAGAACTTTTGGGGTGGATGGCCGAGCCAAAACCTTCGAGATGGGATGAACATTCTAGATGTTGCTGAGCACATCTATTGAGAAATGGAGAGGTGAGGGGGCTCCATCTGGACGCGTGTCTCTTCCTCTGGACCTCCACCCAAACAGCAGCAACAAGACCAAGATGGAGACTGCTCTGAAATCAACTGATGAGAACTGAACTGAGCCACAATGACCCCTCCTGGACGCTCTGCATCTTCAGGATCGAGGGGAGAGAGCAGCCAGTCGATGGGTCCTCTGGCCTAATGAAGTGCAGGAGAAGAGTCCTCTTCCTCCTTCAGTACGACATTAAACCCTCACCTCTCTTCACCGGGCAGCGAACCAGAGCGCCGTGAAAGGAGGATGAATTTATTCACCATAAAAAATTGGCATTAATGTGTGTAACCACCTTTGTCTTATTTACAGGTATTTTCACGGTCAGCTGTCATGGGTTGTTTGGTTTACGCTAGCATCAGCTGAATTTAGGTTGCAGGCAGAAAATAATGTGGTGTCATTTCGGTTGAAGGGTTCGTATAGGTTTCCATTTTCATAATAAATGTTTTTTTTGTGATTATCTACATATATAATCAGAAAAATGCACTTGTGAAGGAAAAAATGATATTTGTAATTTCTGTGCATACGAAGCTTCAGAGGAACAGTTTCTGATCATGTCTGTGTTCTGAGTGGGCAGACAGCTGCAGCTTCCATGTCAGACAGCTCCAGAGCTTTCCTGTGTTTGTCCATGAGGTACACAAGACCGATGACGTGCAGTCAGTGTTTTTTAAATACAGAGGAGTCTGAGACTTTCTTAACTCATTCCGGGGATGACTCTTTCATGTCAGTATGTTGACTGAGTTCCTTTGCAAAGATAAAACTTAAAAGACAAAGGAATATTTTCTACCACACTTTTCTTTTTGATAAATCCTATAATTAAGGTTGGCTTGTTGTGCTGCCTTAAGCTTGGACTACGAGAGGACAAACTTGACCTCATTTCCTTAATTGATTTGCTAAAATTGAATACCGTAATTGCCGGTGTATAAGCCGCTACGGTTTTCTCACACTTTGTACACCGCGGTTTATTTGCAGGAGCATCTTATTTATGGTTTTTTTTTCATAATTTTTATAATTTATATTTTTATATTTTATTTTGACAGACTTCCTGTCGTCTCTCGGCAGCTTCCTGCTGCTGACTAACATTTTCTTTTGACAGAGCTGGGGGCTCACACAGCCCTCTCTCGGGGGTGGACTTTGTTAAACACAGAGTGAACGCCCTCAGGTCAGATCAGATCCATAACTTCTCACTCACGGTTTCAGGTTTCCTACCGTAACTCCACCCACTCTGTCATCACGTGACCAGAAGTGCCACGGAATATAGCAGAAATCAGCAACAAACTCAAAGCTACGCTCGGCAGAATGCAGATCTTAAAGTCATCTACCTGGAAGCTGCAGCAGAGGCGTTCCAGCGGGCAGAGGAGGAAGCGCTGCTCACGGCTTAAGAGGAGAGGATACCGGGCGGGGTTATGGTGAGGCTACGAGCTAACGCTAAAGCCGGTAAACTCCCCATGCCGTCTCTCCTTCTATCGAATGTCCGCTCGTTGGACAACAAGATGGATTTACTTCGTCTGAGAGCGGGCGCCTCAGAAGAGATGATGAAGTGTGCGGTACTTTGCCTCACAGAAACGTGGATTACAAACGAAACGCCGGATACAGTCTTCCAGCTGGATGACAGACTTTTTTTTCGAGCAGACCGCTGCAACGAACTAACGGGGAAATCACGGGGAGGCGGAGTATGCATTTACGTGAGTAAAAGTTGGTGCACGAACTGTACTATTGTACATAGCTCATGCTTGAAGTCTTTGGAGCAAATAACAGTGAAATGTTGGCCACATTATCTACCCCGCGAGTTCACGGTGACTTTCATCACTGTCGTTTACATTCCTCCGGACGCTAATGCTAATGAATCACTGCAGGAGCTTCATGATATCATCAGCTCGCTGCAGAGCAAACACCCCGAGGCTCTTTACGTGGTAGCCGGAGACGTTAACCACGTGAATCTAAAGGACTGTCTCCCAAGCTTTAATCAACATGTGGCGATTCCGACACGTGGAGACAAGACGCTGGACCGTGTTTACACGAACGTAAAAGATGCATACAAAGCCGAACCCCGTCCCCACCTAGGACTGTCAGACCACATCTCAATCATCCTGGCTCCTGCTTACATGCCCCCGCTGAGACGCTCCAGACTGGTACAAAATAAAGTTAAATGTTGGATCCAGGACAGTGGCCCCATACTGAGAGATTGTTTTGACCGAATAGACTGGCAGGTTTTCAGAGAAGCTGCTGAAAATGGAGGATTGCTTGATCTGGATCAATACACATCCTCAGTTCTGGGTTACATTAGTACATGTACTGACACCGTCTCCACTATCAGAAATGTTAAAAGCTACCCAAACAGAAAACCTTGGCTGAATGCAGAGGTGCGAACCCTGCTGGAAGCCAGGAACGCCGCCTTCAGGTCTGGAAACTCAGAAGAGCCGAGTAGGACAAGAAAAGAGCTGGTTGCTGGTATTAAGAGGGCCATGGCCACATATGCACAGAGGATCGAGGGTCAATTCATCTCACAAGACCCTCGGAGCAAGTGGAGGGGCATTAAGTGCATAACAGATTATAAAAGAAGAAGTGAACAATGCCCAAGACCCATCT